TCCTTACCCTCGCCATCCGTGACGAATACGGATCCTCGAACAGCGCCCACACCCGCGGCCTCCACCTCCTCCACCACCCCCCGGGCCGCCCCTCCTCCAGGCACAGCCGCTTCAGCTCCGCTCCGTTCCCATCCCCGTTCCCTCCGTCCCCTCCTCCTCCGCCGGGCTCGGGGCTCTCGAAGCTGTCCAGGGCCTCCTCGGCGTCGCGGTGCTGCCGGTAGTTCATCCAGCAGCACGCCTCCACGTCGGTCTCGTCGATGCCCCAGAAGGCGAGCTCCTCCTCGAACAGCGGCCCGCACACGTCGGCGGGGCAGTGCAGCTTCCCGGTGCGGTAATAATTCAACACGTAAGCGAACACCGCCGGGTGACGGTCGAAAAAAAACTCCCCGGCCGCCGAATCGTAATCGAACCGGGCGGCGGCACCGGGTTCGGCCAAACCGGCCAGGCGCGTCCCGGGCAGCGTCTGCAGCGTGCTGCGGTACGTCTCGTGCCGCACGCCGCCCACGTTGATCACCACCTTATCGCGCTCCGCCTGCCACCCCATGGCCGCGGCGGGACCCGACCCGGCCGGGCCTCCGCCGCCTGCCTCCGCCACCGCCGCCCCCTCCTCCTTTTAGGCCCACGGAGGCAGCGGAGCGGCGGCTGCCGCATGCCGCGGCCCCGCCGCTCCCCTGCGCGCTCAGCGCCGCTTCTGCGCCTGCGCGCCGCGGGCTCCGCCTCTTCCTGCGCGAAGACGCGCCTCTTCCGGTTCGAAGCTCCGCCTCTTCCGCTCCGCCCGACGCGACGCCTACGCGGGTGAGGAAGCCCCGCCCACGGCCCGGGAATCGCGCCCCGCCCACACGCTCCGCGAGGCCCCGTCCCTTCTCTGAGACCACGCCCACACTCGTAGGCCACGCCCCGAAACTAAGCCCCACCCCTCTCCGAGCCCCGACGCACACGCGCTCCGCCCACCCCTCGTAGGCCACGCCCACTGAGGTACAGAGGCCACGCCCCCAACCAAGCCCCACACTTTTCTGAAGGCCTGCTCAGACACGTGCTTGAGAGGCCCCGCCCCCTCACTGAGACCACGCCCACTCGCTCAGAGGCCCCACCCACAACTAAGCAACTAAGCCCCACCCCTCTGCGAGGCTCCATTCGGACACGCCCCTATGATGCCCCGCCCACACTCGGAGGACAAACCCCCTACAAGGCCACGCCCCCTGCCCATGAGGCTCCGCCTACCCATGTGCAGAGGAAACGCCCCCAACCAGGCCCCACCCCCTCCCTGAGGCTCCACCCACGCTCCGAGGACACACCCCATAGGAAGCTCCGCCCCCCTCTCGAAGCCCCGCCTACACCCCCGAAGCCCCTCCCACATCGATGCAGACTGCATACTATGAGGCCCCGCCCCCAAATGGAGGCCCCACCCCTTCTCAGTGTGGCCCCACCCACAGAGATGCAGATTTCACACCAGGAGGCTCCGCCCCCACGCGGAAGCTCCACCCACGTGTCGCCAAGCCCCGCCCACTCTGAGGCTTCACCCACATACGTGCAGAAGCCCCGCCCACATTTACTCCAGGCCCCGCCCACCCGCGTGCCGAGGCCACGCCCACTGAGAGGGGAGGAGCGGCGGGGGGTGAGGAGGAATGGAGGCACTGGGAGCACTGGGAGCACTGGGAGCCACGCAGCCTTTATTGGTGACCCCAGGTGACACGAGGTGACACATGGTGACACGTCCCTGAGTTGACCCTGGGTGACCCCGGGTGACCTCCGATGACCCCAGGTGTCATGAGGTGACACGCGGTGACACTGTGACTCTGTCCCTGAGTTGACCCTGGGTGACCCCGGTGACCCAAGGTGACCTCAGATGACTCCAAGTGACCCTAGGTGCCCCCGGGTGACCCAAGGTGACCTCCGATGACCTCGGGTGACCCCAGGTGACATGAGGTTACCTCAGGTGACACGAAAGGGCATGAGGTGACATAAAGTGACACTGTGACTCTGCCCCTGAGTTGACCCTGGGTGACCCAAGGTGACATCAGATGACCCCAAGTGACCCCAGGTGCCCCCAGGTGCCCCCGGGTGACCCCAGGTGACCTCTAATGACCCCGGGTGACCCCGGGTGACAGCAGTGTCACTTGCTGACCGCCAGCCCGACACGGTCGTGGTCGCGATCGAAGACGACGTAGTGACGAGCCAGGAAAACGTCCCCAAGGATCCAGAGGGGTCCCCCGGGGGGGGGCACATCCAGCTCCATGAACCCACTGACACACGTTGGGGCGCCCCACTGTGACAC